GGTCTTAACACTAGTATTAGAGTCCAGTACTACAAAGAAACACAGATACTGCAGCACCAACATCAGCGCTACAATCCTAACACTAGTACTACACTTCAGTACTGAAGGTCTAACGCAGATACTACGGTCTTAACACTAGTATTAGAGTCCAGTACTACAAAGAAACACAGATACTGCAGCGGCCAACACCAGTCCTACAGTCTTACACAGATACTGCAATCCTAACACTAGTACTACATTCCAGTACTGAAGGTCTAACACAGATACTACCGTCCTAAAACACAAGTACTATAGTCCAACACTGCTGCTGTGCTTCTTTGTTCTCAGTCTGAGGAACGCGCTCAGTTTGAGATCCTAAAGGCTCAGATGTTTGCTGAGCGATCAGCCAAGAGAGAGAGAAAACCAAAGAGAGCACGAGCGATGCCGGAGGATGAGGCACCCTCAAAAGGTTAGTGCAGCTGTGTTTTTCTGAGGCAAACATCATAGTCTACACTGTCTAAATTGCTATGAATAACATTTAAACATTTGTTAGACTTTTTTTTTTTTTGAGAAAGAACTGACATTTCAGAGGATTCTGAACACCAGGGTCCATAGTGGAAATCGGTGTTTTTATTTTTATTGTTTCATTGGTGTCAGCATCAACAAACCTAAATGACTAATTGTGAATTCACTGTTTGTAATAATTACTCTACTCCATTGACACAAAATGACAACAAGAGGCAATAGTGGGCCAGGAACTCCTGTGTCCCTGTGAGCTAAAACCACTGATTTTCTCTTTGGACTTTGTTGTATGTAATTAAAACACTGACAACCCTTGACGCTAATGCGGGGTGTGCGTTTATAGCAGCCACTCAGACAACAAGAAAAGGAGGCAAGACGTCGGCATTCGACAAAGAGCTGACCAACACAAGCAGGAAAGCTCTGAAGAACTACAGAGCAGGGTGAGACACACACACAAAGACAAACACACACCTACATACTTGTCTGTTTGTCTAATCCGCTTGTCTCTCCCTGTGCCCTCATAGGCCATCCTTTGCTGACAGGAAGCGTCTGGGTCTGAACAGGAAGTCTAACAGTAGCTCCAGGTGAGTTTTGATGTCCTGTCGTTTTCACACAAGCATTGACCACTTCTGATTTATATATATATATATATATATATATATGTGTATATATATATATATGTGTATATATATG